TCTACAGTTCTTGATTCTAGAGTCCTAGCTGAGGCAATCTGTTGTCATATTTAACATGAGGTTCGAAAAACGAAAGCCCCAACATGTAGTTCCGTGAGCGGTTTCAGGCTACAAGCAATAACATTTTGTAAACTCAAATCCTTAGCACTGGCAGTGTGTGTTGATAAATCCATAGAAGTAGAGTTGGTCGTGAGAACAGGAGGGATATTAAGAGATGACGAGGGCACTTGACCATGAATATGATGATCTCGAGTGTTGTCGAAGGTATGAGGGTGATTGTAACTTCCTGGTTACCTGCATTCGGACCATTAGTGTGTTGCTTTTAGTCGCACTGTTTTGCAACCGATCTCTCCTTCATGGTAGGACTTGAAGGAATGATTATTTCAGCCAATATAAGTTGGCCAGGTCATTGCAATAGGCAAGCCCAACCGTTTAGTCAAAATAGAAGCTAAGGTTGGGAATGAATTCGCAAAATAAAGATTACAAGATAATTATAAAGTTTAAGATCTTTGGAACGGCAAAGAGTGAATACATCTCCCTCATTGAGACTGGTTCTGAGCTTTGTCACTCAATATTTTCAATAATGGGTTTCAGAAATCGTGTGAACTCCAACCTGGTAGTCTAAACTTACCAACATGACTCAATAAATCAGTCAACAACTCCGTGGAGTGATGACATGTTTTGATTTGAGCTTTCTTCCAACGTACTTTGGGCGTTGGGTTAGGCGGTTGTCTGATAGACGCAATACATGTCCCAAATACCTCGGCTAATAAAAACTTGTTACTTCATCAACCTGTTTATCCTCTTTACTTAGTGTTTTTTGCCTGATCTTAACACACCTTTGATTATCCTAACTTACACGAGCAATGGCAAGACTGTCTTTTTAATTAAGTTCCATGAGTGTAATGAAGTGTAAGCGGGAGGAGCATCCAAACAATAAAATGTTAGGGTAAAGTGACACAAATAATATTTGAAATATATTCCTGAATCTTTAGAAGAACTCAAGAAGCTTTAGAATACTTCAGTGATAACACTACACACATTAGAAACAAGACATGATATCAACTTTGAAGCAATAAAATTGCTTCAGAAGGGTTTTGAGGTTCATAAAAAGAAACCAAGCTTGGAATATATGGACGAACCACTAATGACACCACGGTCCTTCTTGCACATAATTATATGAAACATGGTTCACAACGAAACTATTGGTAGTCATTTACAACTTTTGTCACTGTAGGTAACTCAAGTAGTGAGTGTTCTACATAAATTAATCATAATCTTCCATATGATTTTTCACAATTATAAATTTGAATTAAGAGCAAAACCGTAGGAAAACGTTATTCTGCTACGATTTTGCTCTTTATTCAGATTGATAATTGGCTGTTTATCTTGAGTGATAGATACTGAAGGACATTTTACAATTTTCATATATATATATATATATCCATTTGTCTACTTCATGCGGCTTTTATAATATTATTTACTGTCTGTCTACTTCTATTGAGTTCTTTTATTTATTTATCTGCCCACTATTTATAAATTTGTTGGTACATTATTAAACGTTTACTAATCGTCCAAATACACCCTGACTGTTTTATGGGACTCAGGATTTCGCTACCAGTAAGTACCAATCAGTGATTTATACATACTTCTCTGACAAGCACTTAGTTTTTCTCTACTGTGTGTGAATTTTAACCAGTTAGCTGAATTCGATCGATTACCAAGTTTTATTTTGAAGCTTAAAATAAGTATTTCAAGTAGGGATTATCCAAAGTAAATATTATATCAATAATTTAAGAGTATTTCTGTTTATTATTAGAATTTTTCTTTCCCTTTCTTTCGGGGTTAGTTCTTTTGTATCGATTTTTGATTAATGTCTCTATGCTTATATTGTCTTAAATGTGTCATTTAGGATGAAAAGATGGATAGTATTTTCTACTGTGCCTTTATTTAAAATATATTCAATCTGTCAGTCAGAATGCCACTTATTTTCTCGTTCATCCATTCATCCCTTTTTTCTATTTTATGCCTATTTGTAATCTTTCTGTTTTAATTTTCTCTGTTGCCAAAACATAAATAAATATTGGAGGAAAATTTTTACGTGACGACTTCGTTTGCAAACGAGCGATTTTTCGATTCAAATTTCTCATTGATCTAGGAGGAAATTAGGAAATTTCTCGAACTTATGTGGTTGGCCTGTTTTTTTTCTCTCTCGCTATACTAGGTCATTTTGTGATTTGCCAAGATAAATATAGTTTAGAGCATTTCTATTTGCCTACTTTCAGTAATGATTTATTTTCTGTAATGTGATAATATTATATTTAAAAATGTATTCCAATCTTGCTCAAGTTTGTGGCATGCAATTTGGTATTATCCCTTATGCATTTATATTGTAAGAAAATCAGAAAAAGTGTGAAGTACCAATTTTTCTCATAGGCTCGGGTTTATGGTGGAATTAAAACTTAAAAAGTCTCCGTAAATCTGTTAAAAATACCAGAAATAACTAGCTTGTCTTTAGCTTTTCCTTATTTTCTTATCGATATACCCGTTAAGTATGATCGATATTTTTGGATGTATTGTTTTCCATATCTTTTTTACGTGAAAGTTTTTCTTCAGAAAGGTAAAAAATACTGACAGATGAACCTCATTCGATGACATTATAAGATGACTTTGTTAATGCTGTGATGGCACTGTTAAATTATTTACTAACAAAAACCAACGTAGACTTTTAGATAGTTGTGCGGTGTGTGCTACTGATGTCGACAGATGTAAGTAGTATGTACCATCAATTGAAAGGAAAATCCCTGGCAGCAGAAGGTTAAGAAGATCGAAGAGAATGAGAACAAAAAATGATTGGTATGGAAATGAAGAAACAATAAAGTCTGAGACAATTGATGGACATTTCCCAAATGAAGTATTCACTGTATGGTTCTCAGATTTTAATAAGAGATTCTGTAATTTTCTATTCAAATACATTTAGTTGTTCTCGTTCACTACAGTTGAGTTGGAAAAAAGATTAATGTAATCGTAAATTACCATTATTTTCTTTCACTTGCTTGATTGATAGTGACCAGTGGGTCTCAGCATCTTTCATACAGTTAGAAACATACCGAGTGAATGTTGATCGAACAAATAAATAACTCAAGTGATAAGGTAAATCAATAATCAAAGAACCAAAACAGTTGGTTTATCCCACTTAAGAGGCACAAAACTGTAACTTCCGAGAAGTGAATGATTACCAACGTAAACAAAATGATAATTAGACGGTTGCTTTCAATTGAATTAAACCTATTATTGTTTAATAGACATTATGCGAAATAAGATGACTTAATTACATGCTGTGGAAAAAAAGTCTCAACAGCTAAAGGTAGTGTTACTCAGTAAGCATCCAGTAAAGTATTTTTATCCGGTTTTTCAATCACGCTATTTCGAAATCAAAAATTGAAGTCTATATAACATCCACAACGAGGTGTTACGTCGTTTAATTTATTGGTATAATAATTCTGATCGACACAACAGAGGAACTATTGTTATCATTTCGTTAACAAAAGTGGATAAATCATAAAATGCTAACTTTGAGACTGAATGTGGTAAAATTGATACTGTACATGTCATTTAGTTTATATAAACAAAGAAATTGACTAACGCATTAGCCTCCATGAAAGAAATATTGGAAGGCATTCAAGTGCTTGTATGTTTTTAATAACCAAAATCAGTTTTAAAGAATACACCCATAAACTCCTTTCTTAGAAAAAAAGTTCTGGAATATTTTCAGTGTCACACGGTATAACACAAATCTACACTGTTTTAGGCCATAAAATACAGAGCTTGCTGCATAACTACTACAATGTTATGCTGGTACCAGATTTTATAATTGTTAAGTATCAGTTTCTATCATCAAGACGATAACCTTACTAAAATAAATCAATCATACACGTCAAAAGATTGCGTACTACTTCTATATTGAGTAATTGAATGTATCGTTCATTCCAGATTGTTATTGGCGAATAAAGTGAATAATCGTTAATTGTTTTGCGATCTTTATTTTCATCTTTAATTAGTCTCATGGGTGAAATTAAAGTCAAAGTATAAGACCACTTATTTGTAAAGAATTGTGCTAACTGATTTTTCAGTTTTCTGGCTTCTTAGGTCCATCAAGTTACTGAAGTTATTTATTATTCTAATATTAGATTAGGTGTAAATAAGTTAATTGCATCACAAGACCTTAGTACCTTTTGTAGCGTTAATATATTGTGTCCCAGACAGATCTGTTACTGTTCATTGGCCTAGTGTATACAGCAATCAGTTCAAAGAATATATCTGAAGTAGTTTAGTTTGGGTTAGTATATCTGCTGTACCAAATAAATAGTCTTGTGATAAGGTTACGAAAATTTATCTAAAAAACATTTACGATACTCTCTAATGGTTCCTACTTCGAATATCACAGTTTGCATAAAATTATTCACTTGAGCATTCTTGGTAGTATACATTTTATTATAGTCTGTGGTAAATGCTGTTATGTACCAAGTACATAATAAAGAATAATTCTAAAATAAAATGTGTTTATTTGCCTTAAATTCTATTGTTTTGTTCCACAAAGTTGTACGTACTCTCTACTAGTCTCTGTCGTGAGCAATTCCTTTCCAAACTTGTAACTCGTGCTTTGTTAATACATCACACCTATTTGCGAAATGGGAGTCGTGTAATTTAAAAAACGAATCAGATCATAATGACTTCTAGTTTTATTTTACTTTTTTGACAATCACTTCAGTTTTAAGATCAGAATATTTACGTATGGAATATAAAATTCATCCGGTTTGAATAACTAAAGATTCCACGTTTAAGATCACAGTAATATTTTTTGCTAATCTATGCGATAAACTATGTTAATTATTTCATCTTAACATCTAATTAATATCTGCATACATTGCTATAGTTTTTTTCTGATTGTTTGTTTCCTTCAAGTGCCTAATTATAAACATACTTTTTTCATTTTATAGGAAGCTTATAGAAGTTGGTTTTGTGCAACAGAATTCCCACTGTATTATCCACTTGATGACGCAGATGTAAGTATACCTTTACACTCAAAATCTCTGGATTCTGATATAACTGACGTCGAAGTTAATCGAATTCATGTTCCCGTCACAATTTCAAATTTATCGACCAGTTCCAAAATGCCTCGTCCTCGGAAGAGTAGTTACTTCTTAAATAGATCATCACCGACACAACCATTTGATCTATCTGTTGTAGAATCTATGTCAAAACCCAGGAATATATATCGAAAATCTAACCCCACAGAATTCCAGTTAGATTCTCATTTACTTTTTCGACTGGAAATTGTACAACCCTGCATTTCATGGTGTACTCAGGTTGAGACTGTTTGCCCATATTTAAATCCCGCTGATCCTACCTCAAACGGTGGTGAACCTGCATTTTTGTGCGATGGTAAGTACATATTTGTTTATAGTATTTATGCTTACTAATAATTATTCTTTTCACCTTCTATGTTAAAATATGTTCACTCTTTTTTATGTCTGTTACTGGGTTTAAAAGCCTTCATCCTATCACTATTTCATAACGTCTACCATGAAAGCATTTTCTATTGGTTCCACATAGTGGTAACTGTTTCCTGCAGAATTGAAGTAGTAAAATAGACGACCCAATACATAGGTATTGAGTGCCCATTTGTTTAAGTTGGGAAACCCTAGTTTTAAACTAATTGTTCACCCAAAACCTTGGATATGGATAGTATTGATGACTAGTAAATCTATATTATTTGATACTTTTAGGGTATAACTCCTAACATAGTCCGGTCATCTTTCAGACTGTGACAAAATTTGTAGATATTTTTGCCATTCATGTGGTCTGAAAGCCTGTGTATTATCAAAAGTCATTAAATATCACCTACGCAAATCCATTTACGGTACAATTTTTGCTTCTCTTTTCTTAGTTTTGGTCCGTATCTTCAACTAATTCTACATTATTAACAGTTTACTTATTACTTGTTATTTAAGAATTCACTTACATTTTGACTACTGAGTTCTTTGCGATTAGAAATGTGGTTTCTATTGGTCCATTTTTATTCACTCTGTATGATATGAAGATGTTGTTGATTTCATATTGTTTCATCAACTATAAATGTTAATAACCCTAGTCAAATTTCCTATGCATACTCATATTTTTGTTAGATAGATCGATAAAATTCATTATTGCATGTTATGTAAAAGTTTTGATTCAATAAAAACAACTAGCTGAATAGTACAAAGGTTTAGTTACAGAGTAAGTAATAACTTTATTTTACGGAATATATTTTTGTATTAGAAACAGTAAGATGTAGGTAAATTTCGTATTATCAAATTCAGAGCTTTTAAATACTTAATTTAGAAAGATTGTATTAATTCTAGATGTAATGATACAATATTGTGATCAGCGGATAATAAAACATATGTATATTCATTGTTTCCCTCTTTTCTAAACAGCTTACACGTTTATTTATCACTCTTATTATTATTGTTTGAACACATGAATATTGGTACAAGAGAGCGCCAATATATATGCGCCACACAAAACAATGAGAATTCGAAGAGAAATAGAAAAAAAAAACTAAGGAGCGCAAAAGAAAAAGAGAACAATAACGAAGAGATTGGTGTAAGGTAGTGTGGTAGTAACGAGGGAACGGAAAGGTACAGTCAGAAGAAATCTTTCAGGTAAGGGAGACACAACCACTTTTTATGAAGAAAGTAAAAGAAAGTTACAGCAGGATCGCCACTGGCTTCTATTCTGAGCCATATCTGATAACGTCTCTAGCCACTGTGTAGCACCATCTCTCGGACCCCAGCCAGAGAGTCGTGAAGGACCAACACAAGCCAGTCCTTTGCAGCTTTCTTTCATACCACGACACCATGTCATGCACTGGATGTCAGCAATCCTTCGGAGACAACGATGACCAAACCCAGAGAGTCGTCTAACGTCCTCAACTCGGAGAGACCAGGTTTCACAAGCATAGAGCAAAACTGCTCTCACCGACGCGTTGTAAATCCGACCTTTTACAGCCAGACTAACATCACGAAGGCGCCAAAGATGGCCCAGATTGGCATAAGCCGCTCTGGCTTTCACTATTCGTGCATTTATCTCATCACTCACACCCCCACCAGCACTTATGCAGCCACCCAGATACACGAACTTCTCGACTACTTCTATCTGCTCACCATCCAGGGTGAGTACAGGATTGGAATCCTGGCAGTCTTGTAGAAGTACTTTGCACTTCGAAGGTGCAAAGCACATACCATACCTACGGACACTGATTGCCAACTGATTAAGTGCGGATTGCATGGCACTCTTAGTCTGTTTTCTTTATTTTCTGAGACCTAGAACTTCTTCCAGCATTGTCTTCTGTCTTTTTTGTTTCCATAAGGTTTCCATAATTGAGATGTCGTTGTCTAATAATCTCCTTGTCTACATTAGATGTTTCCGCTCATTAGTAGTGATTTCTTAACATTATTAGCACCCGTAATCAAAAAACATTCTCAATACCTATTCAAATATTTTGATTAATTTGATAATTGCCCGTTTAGTTATTTCGTTCTTCATATGGTAATGTATGTACAAGGTATGCATCATGAGTCAGTCTCGAGGTATTTCTGAAATTTCGTTATTCTTGTGTCCCACTTGATGATTCCGAGTTACAGTCATTTAACACAGCCTAACAGTTCTATGTTCAACTTTTGTGAACCTCTTTACGTCGACAACAATTTTTTACAACTCAGTTTCTAATCAACTTCCTGTGTTAATATAAATGTTATGTTCTTGTTTGCGCTTATATTATATTCACTTTCGTATTCTTTCACCAAATAGTGTTTAAAACCGTGGCATCCTAAAACAATACCCTATCTCTCGCTACAATGTTTAGGTTTCCTACGTGTTGTTTATAATCCCCTTAAATTATTTCAAACAATTCACTGAAAGTTCCTGTTTATTGAATGAAATTTTTAAATTAAAAGCAGCTTATTTTTGTTTTTCGGGAGTAATAGTTTAGACCAGCTCTCCATTATTTATTGATCAAGTGTATAGTTGCATCTTTAGCGATTCATCTGTGATCATCAATACCCTTTTCTTTTGTTGTACTCTGAAATACTCTGATATATATATATATATATATATATATATATATATATATATATCACTGCTTGTTTGTTGTTTGGGCCTTCCTCTTCTAATCCCTTTTGTCCTCCATAACTAAGTAAATAAAAGCTCATTGATTTTTTTTCGCTTTTCGTCCTCTTCATCTGTTTTCTATCTGTTAATTCGTTATCTGTTAATATATAGGCAAAAATTATTGTATATTTCATCAAACTAAATAAGATTAGTTTTTAATGATAGCTAATTATTGATATTATATCTTCCTCACATCCATATATGTACATTATGCATTTGTTTTTCCATGACTACGAAATGAATGACTTTAATTTGGTCTCATTATACTCACTATTAGTTACTACTTATCACCATTATTATTATTATTATTATTATCTTATCTCCTAATGGAGAATATTGTTGTTGTCTTCAAGTCTTAGAATTATATCTAAGTAAATATTTCCAATTTCTTCTTATTCATTTGTACTGATAATAATAATAATAGTATAAATAATGTGTCTTTCTGTTTATGTAAAATATCATAACAAAGAGGCTCATTCATTACTTGAAATGAATATGTTTGAATAGTTTATCCAGCAACCTTATAGTTTTCTACTTTATTCGAATCGCACCTCATACTGAACATATTTTCGAATACACTGAACAGCGTATTACTTCAAATAATAATCTTTGGATTTTAATTGGTACTTTCCTAGACATTTATAAATGGTGGAAGAGATAATCACTAAAATATATAAAATCCTAAAGTAAACATATAATTATTAGCTTTAACCATATTATCTACTTGACTTCTAATATTTAAGCTCATTTGTAGTCTCTATTCGCGGATTTGTAGCATTTCACCATGGCTATACACTAGTAATAAATATATTTTTTAATACCCCAATGAGTAGAAAAATTGTGCTTCTGACGTTTCGTAACTTGATGTAAGGCACTTCTCCAGAGTAAATAAACAACCGAATTAAATTAACACAAGTTTAAATGGTACAATTTTCCTACCTATTGGGATATAACAAAAACATATTTGAAACTATTAAGTTCAACCTTGGTATTGATACATATAGCTATCCACTATTAACGATCTCAACCCCATTGAAGGACATCCATAGATCTTGTGTATGGATCCGTGAACTAAAATTCTAGAATTTCGGTTAGCTAGACCTGTTGCCCGATTAGATGTACGACTTAAATACGAAAGGATGCAAATAATAGATAAATGCACAGTCCTTATGAACTGTGTATAACATTTCATAAGCTCAATTTGTTTGCATATGTTGAAAAAATCAACACTAGTTTGGAGGGTCAATAACAAAAACTACATAAGATCTAAAAAAAGAGGACAGTGTGGTTGCGAGTAATTATAAAAGTCACGCGAATAATCAACACTTCCCGGTCAGCATTATCGACTGAGCACCCAAAACGTCAGCTTATGTTCCTAGTGTGGGAAAAGTCCGAGTAATGTGACTAGCTGATCTTTAACCAATCGTTGGTGGCGGGCAAATTCAGAAGGTGCTAGAAGCTACACATTCAATTTACATAAGACATTTGTGTTTTTACCACTATACTTTTGTCCCGACTTTTCTTTGAAATATATTTTGTCTTTAATCTTGTCAGGTCGAGCAAAGTTCACTGTTCGGAAATTTGTAAATAGGGAAGTACATATAAGCGTCATAGAAGGATGAAAATTTCAAAAAGTGATATCCTGATGCTGAATGCGAACATCTAAGTGACAGAGAAATAAACGGTATTAGAAAACTAGGAATTGTTTATCGACTAAACACTCAATTGATAATCATACAAAACTCGAATAATATCAATAAACCGAACTATTAGTCATTATTTTGTTATTTTTGGTTTAATAAATACTTGTTTGTATATCACTTAGTTAACATAAATTATGCATTAATATGATTTTTTTATAGCCAATATTGAAATTAAAGTAACTATATTTCACAGTAGTTGAACAATCACTTGTGCACCAGTAGCTCTTTAAACTAAGATTTTCATAACTTTTTTAATCCTTGTTTTTATTACAAAAAAACTATGATTGGTTTGTCAAAATGACATTAAATATAAATTTATAGTTGATTAACAAACATATTTTGTATAGATTATTCTTATATCTCCTGAAATATATATTTGCAATGTTTAGAATTCTTTTCTATGACTTTGACGTGTAAACTCTCACACTATGGAATTAAGTAGGTATATAACTCTACGTAGTTATGTGCTAAAGTTATATTGTACTAATGATTCCGTTAGGATGGTCAAATTAACATGAGATAGTACTTTTTTAAATGTAACTATATAAACTTGAACTACCTATGATTGAGACTACTAAAGAAGAGAACAAAACAAAAACTACTTTATCTTTAGTTCTCAATACACTTAAACAAAATAGATAGAGAGAATGGAAAAAAGAGCAGACAAATCAAAGTAATCAGAAAGATTGGAGTCTTAAAATAAGATTGGTTCAGCGAATAATTCCTTTTTCGGCGAATTCATTTTCAAGCTTGTACAATCACAAATATATACACTTATTTTATCAGAATGATGATAATTACAATAATAACAGTAGTAGTGATAATAAAATTCTGTTAAACATGGTAACCGTGAAGTAGTATAAACAAAGGCATTAAAACATTATTTTCTATCAGGGAAACTAATAGTCTTATTGTTAAGGCCTTGAATATTCATCATGAAGATAAATGCGAAAATTATAACTGGGAATGGATGGCTCAGTATGATAAAATAAAATTTCGAAATGAAATGTAATCAGGATGATCATGGATCAAAGTTTATATGCATAGAAAAAACAAATCGATTCTCGGTAATATATGTGTATATCATCAATTGTATTTTCATTTGTTTATAATAATGAAATTCAATGTCTTATTTGACCATTTAATGAACTTGGCAAATCTTTTACGTTTAATATTTCATTCACTTGAATGTTATTATTTTTTTTTGTCATTAAACCTACTATTCTTTATCTAATTAAGTAAGAACTAATAATGAAGACTGATTATGTATATTATTCATGTTTATTTGAAAATCGTTATCAAAAAAAATTAATGAACTCATTTTATCGGAGAGTAATCAGTAGTGATATGGCCAGACCTCGTTATATATATATATATATATATATATATATATATATATATATATATATATATATAATTTTCTATTGACATAATTAATTAACTTTCTTATTTAGCTTTCTACCGATTGTTTTGACCTACTTATGAGAATTTATGTAGAAAATAAACACTGAGTTACAAGTGTATATATAACGTTTTCTTAGATGGTTGTTAGATTTTACAAAATGGATTAATTTAATTCGATAATAAATAAAAAAATGTTGCATTCCACTTTTTAGTAGCTTTAATAGAAAAAAATTAAAAGATTACTCAAATGTATTGGTTTTTTTTAAGGAATCTTTTAGCTAACTTTAGTATAGCAAATTATGAATTCGAATGAATGAAATGGTTTTACGCTTAATGTTGTTTAACATTTCCTTACCTGCTTGAATACGGGTATTTTGTCAAGTTTCTTATTACTCACAAAATTTAATTAGTACGCTTTTTAATAAAGAGTTAACGGTTAATACAGCCTAAACAATTGATTTTACGTTATATTTAATTGTTGAATTAAATACTGTAAATTTACTATATATTCTCAGGTGCTTTCTAGACTTTGATGAATATTGCCTTTTCTTTTAACAGACATATGAGCGAAAAAATTTATAAAACCTGTTCCAGATCATGTTTTCATTCTCTAACTCCAAAGCGATGAATTTCTTTCTACCCATGATATTAAATGGTGAGAACGACATAGAAATCAGTATATGGTTGAATCGATTCAAATTACTCTACTTTGAATTAGTATAACATAAAAATCAAATTGGCAAATAGTATAATAAAATAGGTCAAGAGGTTAACTTGGTAAAGAAAACTAGTTAGAGAGTATTAAGACACAAAATATGATAAATAATTAACCCAGCTTTTACAATGTAATTAATAAGTTATATCATTAATTGTCTTAACTACCAATATCTACTGTAATTCAGGTAGTTTTCTTTATGACTAAGATCATTATTTCCTGTTTTTATCAAGTATTTGTCTACCTTCATGCTGTCATCTTGTGTTTTCCTCTCATCATTAAAATTTTACACTCGACAATTCCATTTTACACAAAAAATACATTAGTTAAGCACATAATTCTCCCACCACCACGTACCTTTGATGTTAAATTGTCAAAGTTAGTGCTAAGAAATAAATTACTATTGTATTTATTCCTTTTTTTGTGGGTTTACAAATACCTAACCGTTAACATAGTGACGTTGGTTACAAATGATATCTTAGTCTTTTGTATCCGGGCTTAAATCCCATTATCTCCCCGTACGTTGATACGACTCCGAACAGAAAAAAAGTGGTTTGATACTTGTGAACATATCGTTTTCCATAGTCCAATCAGTTCGAAGTCACACTTTTTGTTTATATTAGTTCCAAACCCCTCCCAGAACATGTACTTCTATGTATATTCCTTTGTTAAACATGTTCAAGCCGCAATATTTCTGTCTTCTTTTAGTCATACATCGTACCGATTCTAGTAGTTTATGACTAATTAAACTCGAATAATAATCGTCTCTTTTCTATCTTTCGCTAAATGGTAATGAGGCGTAAGATGGTAGAGAAAATGTTCAAAATCTGCATTTAAATATGTGTATGAAATATTACTCTAACTCATGTCTATTGATTTTTTTCTTGGATCCAATCTCTTTTTTACTGTTGAAAAATTCACGTAAAAATTTTTAAAGAGTATTTCCAAATTCAGTCACTACTATTCGGTACTTTCTTCGTTATTCTGGTATGAAAAAGAACAGATTCATATTGATTACACTTTAATATGAACTACTCACTCTTGTTTATCTCTTAATATAAAGTCAATTAATTTTCCTTTTATATATTTATTCTAAATTCATACTTTTGTCCAATCATTTTATATTGGCTAGCGTTTTAAATGTATCATTACCCTTTTATAATTATGATATACAGACTTGTGTTGTGTTAATTACTACAATGAATATTGTTCATTTTTCACGAAGTTGTACCATTATTGTAAATATTAATGATTTTCTGCAAGGTCACATGTACTTCATTATGGCGAACCAATATATATATATATATATATATATATATATATATATATATATATATATATATACTATTTTTCTGGTGAACTTCATTTTTTTCGATTACTTTCCTTCATACACTCAAAAATTTTAGTGATCGGTAAACCAGTATAATGTCAGTATATATGTCAGTATAATGACAGTAGACCGATGGATACGTTAAGTGTATAAAGTTTAATAATCTCTCAGTTCGGTCAGTATAACTTTCAGTGAATTATATTCTTTATTTTAACCATACATCGAAGATTTCTAGTTTTTTAAACTTTTATATTTCTCTTATTAGTAATGAAACGCATATGCTATTTCATAAAAAAACCTAGAAACGATTTTAAAGCTTGAGGCTTCCTAATACACAGAAATAGAGGATTAGCTTGAAAAACAGCATTTTCGACGTCATTATATTTGTATACTTTTTGTTTAAAGGGAACATGGTTTGCTGTGAAGTAAAATTGGGAAGTGTGTATTAAGATAAATTCTCATGTACTTTACCAGCTCATAAGGTTTCAAATATATCTAAATTTCACACAATTACTTTTTTAACATTTTCAGATATACTTATTAGTATGTAAATCAATGAATTCAGATCTGTTTATAATACAAATGATAAATTTGAAAGTCGTTACTGCCTATATAATGAGGTTTTGTTTGCATGACCACGGGAGTTTCATGCATACATTTTTTTTGCTACTTCATCTACTGTGTCAAAGATTCAATAAACTATTTTAACTTATTGGTAGTGCAATACCTTAGTTCTTTCGGATATTTATATAGGAAATGTATTAGTATATACACTATTTGCATCTTTAAAACCGTTGGAATAAATAATCTTCAATCGCCTATAACTAGTGTAACAATCCGATACCCACTGAACAATTCAGTGGAATTATATAGATGTAAATGTAGAATCACTCATTTAAACAAGTTAAGAATAACAATAGTTCCAGAATAAGACGGATTCATCGTATTTTGTTCCTTTGTCTTCAGTTACATACAGGCTAATAGGTTTACTTTGTTTTAAATATTAATATTTTTGTGAAATAAATCTATGGTTTGTTTATCAAAGAACAGGGGATTGTTTGAAAGATAAAATGAATTCGAAAATTTGAGATTATTAATAGAGTATGTATGACTAAGTTAAATTATTCATAAATATTATGTTATATATAGTTAGTCATAGATAACATAGAACCTAGCAACATGTGCAAGAATCCAGATTGTTATACCACATTGTACAGAGAATTAACATTATCTTGATGAATTATCAAATTTATCTATTTGCATACTTGTTCGTTAAATTTATTTATTGTATCTAATATTACTGGATTGATCCTCTTTGTTAACCTATCCTTTCGTTTTCTTTTACAATATTATGCCTAACTCACTTTTACTGAAACAGCTAGATGTAATATTCGATTATTGAAGTGAAGCCAAGACTTAATTAAATGAGTCAATTGATATATATCATCGGATCAGTAACGTGAAGTCTGTTAATTTAAATCCAGCCGTAACTTATATTTTCTTTCAACTTCTATCATCACTCCTGTCTACAAAAAGGAGTATTTTATGTCTTTACGTGGTATTCTAGCCCATGATGCAATTTTCCCATGAAATTATTATTATTTTCAAATATTTTTACTCACCTACTGTAAAAACGTTCTTTTTAACACTAACTTAATCATTATTTGTTCTTCATTCTGTTTTATTATAATATAGAAAGTCATTACCATCACAGTTCAAGATATCAAGCAGTTTACTGGGATGTGAATACTTGTGAGTCTGAGTGTTGTTTTGGTGTGTCAGACTCAATTCTTCTTTCTGTATCCATTCCCGATAAGAAACAGTATTCTACTCCAACTGATTTTCTTTTATCATATTCATCTGATGTTGAGGAATCTAACGATAATGACTCATGTAGTCATTTACGTGATCGCTGCCTTCATCGACTTTTATCAGTGCATCATTCATCATTGATATCAGAATTTTCATCTGTTGTTCCAGATCAAACATCAATATATTTCAACTATGATTTCAATCAATCTAATAGAATTAATTCCAAGAATTTCAGTAACTACCATTCATTATCTCCTGCTCTACATAAAATAGATAGCATTTCTTTTAAAATTATGCTTGCGATATCGTTCACTTTTCATTTTTTCATTTGGTTACATAACATTCAAGTTTTATTATTTCAAAATTTCACTTCGATTTTTATTTTTTTGCGTTATCATCATGTGACGATGACGATTATGAATACTCCTCCAACAAAAAATAATGATAATAATACTACTGATGAACATACACATTATGTATCGAGTTCCTTGAGTCATCCTCTAACTTCTTTAGTACCACATCCATCACTCTCTTTGTCTCATTTTACAAAACATTCAACTCCATGTCGACCATCGTAACAACAATTTCTGGATTTATCTTATAATGTGATAGATTATTATTATCACTGTTACTATTAGGTAACCTTTTTATCTCCATATTTTATAATAAACAAAGTGAGTAATATGTTTAAATCTTTACTTATTCATTTATTTCCATACTTTCATTGCTGTTGACTTTAGTTTCTATTGTTTTGATTAGTGGTGTTAGTAAGAATACTTTTTGCCAATAATAATATCATGCGAAATATGTCGATTTAGTTAGGTTTTACTTCTAATTTCGACACTTAGTCAGAGAATGAAGTTATTTACTGTGAGTATACTTCAGCACTTCTGTTAGTGAGTATATATATATATATATATATATATATATATATATATATATATATATATATATATATATATATATATATATTTGTTCTGTCCCTTTTTTCTGCGCCTTTCTTCTTTGTTTTTTTTTCGTTTCACATTCTTAAATTCGTATCAGTAAGTAAAGATATACTTAGAAGAGTGTCGTAGTTTACATCTTCAAGTCAACGATAATGTATCTCCTTATAAATTGACATTTATTGATTTCCTGTTAGTCACTACTAGTTCTCAAGAGCATAATCTATTTATTTCTTCCAGGCTGTTTACTTCCTTTTTCTCACTTTTCACCAGTCACGAAATCATCTTGTTCTCTTGTCTTATTTTGTTTAAGCTTTTTCTGTATAAAAAACAAAGGAAAAATACAAATAAAACTCGTCAAAAATTAAGAAGAGATGTATGGGAGGATGTTATGAGTTTGTTATTATTATTAGTAGTATTAGTAATGGTAGCAGTAGTAGTATTATCGTTAACTATTTTAATCCGCTATAAATAGATGGCATATAAACAATGTAGATTATTAGTCAGTTGTACAATTAAAACCATTTGATTTTTGTCTTTTTCTTTCAATCTTCCTAAATCAAATTATGTTTACATACACACGCATGTACTGGGTATAATCATTCTTTTGTTGTTCATAGTGTTGTTTGGAGGTGGAGAATGAGTATTCACTTCTGGTTTTTCGATTATTAGACAGGTTACGCATTTTCTCGTTACTGGAATTCGTTTGATGAATATATATATATATATATGATTGTGTAAATTACCATTTCTTAGTCAAAGATTATTTTGTTTCTTATTGTGTATATTTCAAGTGCTAGAAGAGTGGCTTCTCGATCCTATTCGATTTGTTGTTAATCTTTATTATTGCTAGTTGTGATTAATGTTTGTTGTTAGATACTTTCCAACTTTTGTGTTGCCTTTTTTCGCTATTGTCTCCATAATAAAGATCTTGGATTCGACTTTTATCTTACTAAACATTGTTGCTTTGTAATAATTAATAATTGAGTGAATTGTAAATCGACATCGGAGCGCATATATATAGCGCATTATTATCGTTTTTGCTTTAAATATAATTAACTTTGATAAATGGCAATTGCAATTTTTCTTGTCGATCTCTATTGTTTGAGGGTCGATTCAGTTAAGCATTTGATTTTATTTATTGCAGACGTATTGTGTAGCGCCTTTTTACTGCTACTATTACTACCACTCATCTATTGATTCATTCCTACTTCTATGTGATGTATCTTTCGTAGTATTTATAAATCATATTCTTTTAGATTCTCATCTTGTTTATCCTTTATTATCACTAGTATAATTGTTTATAACGCATTTATATTCGTCTGCTGATGTAAAGATTTATTTAACTGTTCATTTATATATATATATATATATATATATATATATATATATATAATCTATCCTTTCTTGTTTCAGTTCCCACTATATATACACATACAATCACATTGGAAATAAAATCTTCATTTACCATAACACATAATAAAAGTTTTAATAAAACAGTCATGGTTATGAGGTGTAATATAAGTTTTACTTAGAATAAACCCAACTTAATTGTGTGTAGCTAATAATTAATATATAGAAAAATTCACATAAAAACTTTTTGGAATAAATTCATACAACTTATTTTGTAGTAACGCATAAATATCGAATAATTTGGAACTGTTAACATTTTCTACCGATTACAATGTTGAGGAATAGCGTTCTTGTTGATAATCTCTGAACTAATACTATGGTTACTTTTTTTTATCGGCAATCTACATTTACTGCCTGATTTATAGTGGGAGTTATATGATTGCCGATTATTTATTGTGTCACACAAATTGGTCATTAGATCGAAACTAAACCGATACGCGATTAACAGATACCAATGACGTTTTATGGATTTATTGACAGAGTTTGATCATTAGGCTGGGTAAGACAACAATTCAATGATAATACATACAATGACTTCTTAGTTACCAACGGAATTATTATGTTAGATCACCTAGTTGGATATATACAGCGAAGTTATAATAAAAATGGTATCCTTTTTTACTGAAATTCATGGTTAAGTCACTTATCGCTCCTGCTATAGGATTATTTTTACATGATTGAATATCACAATAATGTAGGTATTCACTATGTTCATTCTTTGCTAATGAGACTAATGATTGAAATATCAATTTATAATGGTTATTAGTACTAGAAAACTTCCTTATTTCCGGACAATATGCCACAATAATGTACTGGTATCTCACTAAGTCTTAAAGTCTCTAGTAATAGTTGAAATAAACATAATCCTAACTTCAGATAACCATAAACTTGACTTAAAAATTACAATAGATATAGTTTGTTGTTGTAAATTATTCTTTGTTAGTCGTTTATTTCATTAAATTGATCGTATTGACACCTTACATAATTTCTACTTATGGGCGTTTTTGAAAACTTCAAACGACACGTTCATACCAAGTGCACTAATTGGTGAAAAATGAACAAAACAAAATGCCTATCCTCAATGCCATTCCTAGTTAACATTTCTACTGTCATAGTATAACTTCTCACCCAATCCCAGGCAAGAAATCATCGAGGCACAAATAAACATGTGTAGAATTATGCTTCCAAAATGTATGAACTCAGATGTGTACACAGACCCAATCAATTGTTAGGCAGGGTCATTAAAAACCTACAATTTTTTTTACTTTGTCTTGGGAATTAGATTACTAGACTCAATTGATTGAGGTTTTGTATGATGAACATTAATAACAGTCAGCCGATCCAATGTAACAAATAATCCACTGAAGCTTGCGAGATCTATTATAATTGCCTATCAATGTCATTTTACTCAGTTATTATATATAATTCAAGGAAAAATCTTGTCTGGGTTTCGATCCCGTCTCCATATAGGAGAAGCCATATGGGTCCGAACCTATAACCCTAGCGTATGTGTTCAGAAGAAATTTGTCGGATATGACACAGTAAACGATTGTACTATTTTTTTTTCACATCCTGTATTAGTTTGTTTTTCTTCACTTACTTCCCTTTATATTCTTCATAAAGGTTTTTATCCTTTTTCAGAGTATTCATATTACTGTGTTTCACTGAAAAAGTTTTATTAAATTTCCGTCCTTCATAAAGAATACTTATCTTTTGAAATCAGACGTAATTATGCAAAAGTATAATATGGCTTCATATTCCATCTTCTGTTCAATATATTTTCGTTAGTGAAATTATAACACGTTAATTCGAGATGTTATAAAAACAAACTACAAATGAAACAAGTAATTAATTTTAGACCGTCGGTACTAATACGCGTTTTTGTATGTTCTTAAAACAAATAATTTCGCAAATTTAGGTTAGTTTGGTAACCAAGAAACTCTCCTAAGCCTTAGGTCTGATTTCATAATGAACGAATGACGAATTAGCCATGAACATAAATCGTCTGTTTGATTTCCCATATTCTACTTAAGCTAACTCCGTTTTAGTGACGGTAGTAATAAACATCTAAATACGAGTCAAGTTCGGAGCATTTATTCCAGGCACTCGTTGACTCAGACAGTAAAATCAGAAGCGGAGAAGGTAGATATGCCTACTCCATTTGATAAAACGTGACTCACTACTTATAGCCGGACAGAAAAGTAAGCTTATGATATGTAGTTAAAAGCGTAAGTGATAAACACACACGCTTAAACAAAATCAGTCAAGGTTATGAGCGAATAGCTAGCAAGGTCAAGATATGTTCGGACACCAACTCGAAAATAATAGATCAATTGGTCTGTTCAAAAGCCCATGTAGGCGTGACATCGTGCTGGATACTATGCTCCCCATAGCTGTTCATTTCTGTTCCATGTATCTTAGTCATATGCTTATTATTGATCAACTTCCATATAAACATCTGCGAAGTCTATTGTGAAGCCATGATTTGTGGGATCATCTAAGTCAGGAATTATGGATTTAACAGTAATATTGAGTGGGAATCATAATACATACTGGAGTCTAAAATATGTCATTTAGCCCTGACTTGGCGGTCTATAGTTATCGTCGTGATAACGAGCCGTGACGGCCCAGGATTTGATGCACTCAGATATGGATGTTGGATATTGTTGAAAGGTTTCGAACTGGGATGAAACGGCCATCTAGTACCACTTGATTCACCAAATAGTGTCGTTTTGTGATGGAACACATCTTCAAAACGATTTCTTATGAATATGGTTTGAAGTAGTTTTTTTCAGTTGCTTTGTTTCTCAGTGAATGGAGAAATTAAAATCTACCAGGTCTTCGAAACGGCATCGCTTCGAGTAATAAACAGTGAGTTTGCTCATTATATATTATAAACTGTATGCCGTTAATTTCATATCACATCACAGCCATATATTTGCTATTATGTGGTAAAATAGACTAACGCCTATTACCCCTTGTGGAGGAGCACAGGCCGCCCACCAGCATTCTTCATCGAACTCTGTTCTGGGCAATGATTTCCATTTGTTATTCATCCTTTTTATGTCTGGCTCCAATTCCCTGCATAATTTGTTCATTAGTCTTCCCCCTTTCATTTTGACTTCAGGAATACAGGTTAGGGCTTGCCTCAGGATTTATTTTGATAATTTCCGTAATGCATTTCCTATCCACATCCAGAGTCTATTACTAATTTCCTCCTCTGGCAGATAATTTTTCCATTCCCATAATAGGTTGTTGCTGATGGTGTCCGGAGTAAAAGACATCAGTGTCGTAATCAGTTAACCAGCTCATTGCTAGACGTCCTAACTAAATCCCTGACACTTAGATCATTACTACTTCTTGTAATGTGATTGATATTACTTCCATAAAAATACGAATTTCTCCCAATTATAGTTCCCTTGCTACGTTAACGACAGTACGTTAAACCAATTACTGATAATTAACATCCAAATAATAAGTCGGACTAGATTGAAAAAACTGTTATAAAATACCAGTTACTTACGAGTAGTATGGTTATGTAAACGACATATTTATGAGTGGGGTTACTAAAATTGATCTGTGAATACAGACCGAACAAATTACGTTAAAAACAATGTTATCCATCCAAAGGGGTTATAATTGTTGCGAATAAAAATGTTCTATACAAATAACCAGATTATAATCTTCTTATTGTTCTTTCCTGTATACCACTTAATGACCATTAAGCATTAGACTATGGTAATGAAACTAATCATAGTTTTACCTATTTGTATCTTTTATCAAAAATATTGATTAGCCTTCTTGTTTCATATAAATATATCTGCAGTTCCTATGTATCTCCTGATGAAAATCAATTGCCAATTTTTTCAGTTTAATTGTATGCTCAAAGAGATCATAAATATAAATTTAGGATGTTGAGAAAAATTGGAACAAATTTGTGGTTGTGAATGTTATGTATTTCTCAATGACTTTAGTAGAAATATTCAGGTTTTAATTACAGTTTTGAGGATATATAGACAATTAATACAGGAAATGAATTATTTCCATCTCATTAGTCAGATAAATGCGTTCTCAACTTAATTGTACATTTCCTAACTATTTTTTGTAAATCTCCTGTTTAAAAACCTATAGTTGTGTGTCTTTTATCATATGGTATCCATATTTTGTTACATTTTTTTTCAGGAAAACCGGTCCTTATTTAAGTGGCGCTTAGTGTAGTTTTGAGCGTCTGAAAAGAGGTTATTTTCCTGAAACTATCACTTCATAAGTTCACTTAATCCTAGCATCTTGTAATTTACTGAGATTTTTATTAGCCTTACTATTAGTTCAAGTACTTCGTGGTGGTCGGTATTCAATATGATCCTCAAAATTCGTATACAGTTCGTCCTGATAACCGTCACTAGATAACGCTTCGACGGTGTATTAATCAGAAAGCGAATACGAAGTGTTGATTACGTTTATTATTGCACCAAAATTACAGCATGAAAGAGTAGTGCCGAAAAGCAAGCAAGTGAGTGCGTAAGTCGAATGAGCGAGTCAATGAACAGGATTAAAATGTACTTATATATACATAGTGAAATGATTGAATCAATCAAGCGACTAATAGTAAGGCTAGCAGAATAAATATGTACGTAGGCAGTAAGCAATGTTCAAACCAACATATTCATACAAGCGCAATAATAATAAAAGTACAATGGTATAAGTTTTTATTGTACGAATGACTCTGTCGGTTAAATAAGTTAACAAAAAGGCTTAACCAAATTATATGTGAACAAACTCAATTGCACGTGAGCTGCTATAACTTTAGCGAGAAGACAACTATAAGAAGTAAATCCAATTTCTTCTGTGTTCAGTTGTATGTTCGAATCGTTGTGGGATTGAATGATAAGAATCTTGGTTAAATGGATTTTTCAATGATGATCACCTTTCCTTATATGATTAGAATGATTTTTGCCAAGGTCGTTCCGACGATGTGAACACGCTTTTGTTGGGTTGTGTTATTTGTTATAAGTGCCCTATTAATATGTAACGTAATGATACCACCAATTAGAGAACAGTGATTTATCGACCGGGCCAATGACGCGTAACCCCGTACGAACAGTCTAGAGTAGTTATCGGTCCTGCTTCTTGCCTAGCCCTGTCTATTAAGTACAGAACACCTATTTCAGCGCCCGCGATACGAATCATGTATTTCAAACGTACGGCGTTTATATACAAATCAATCAGACCACATCGTATCATAAAGTAGGAAATAACATTCGTACAAAATCTAGCCAAATGTGAATGTGAGGGACTGTAATTATTGGACTGGGTATAACTCAAGAACGGTAAATCGTATAATAATAGTCTATGGGTAGAAATAAAGCTTTTAATAAGAGGAACATGAATATGCATAGTTTAGCTACTTAATAATTATACAATAAAAATATATGTGTCGTATTGATCCATAAATAGTTTCTAAAAATTACCATTCATAATTTTCGCAGGGATATAACAATATCATTTTGGATTCTATTTGTACGTCAATTTCATTAAACAGGAAAATCCCACTTTTTTCCTTTCTTTGAGGACAGTGCATTGGCTAAGGTAGAAAGGTTGAATCGAGCGTTCAGGCGCTTATTCAGAGCAACACAAAATTCACAGAAGCTGTGCTCAGAGTAACGAAAACGCATAATTTAAAGGGGGCCACTCTATTTTACGTTGTGCATTTCATCTGTTTCTTAGAAGTGTCTAATAGTTGCAAAAAAGGTGTCACCAAATGGTTGAGGACGTTTCTAACACTCAAGATATATTGGGCTTACGAAGACGTGTTGTCTGCGTTCTTGTCAACGTATTAAAATGACTTATTCACCATCACAGACAGAACCATCAGGTTTCCAGAAAATATCTTTTCTGAATGGAACTATACCGGTAGGCATACAATCCTCACAGACGTCATGGAATATGGCAGTAGTTTCTTGTTCGAAATGCAGTCACTATGTCAGCAACACGTACGCCATTCAAAGTATTTACACTGTTTGCCTCATAAGCTTGTGCGAAAGACAGTGGGCATTGTCTGTACTCTACATGTATTCCTGGGTTCAAGACGTTCGCGACACACTTCGTGCCTTGTAACCAACGCCAATGGATGTAATACGGGGTTTGAATAACCTGGTAACTAATCACCAACATTCTTAACATATTACTATATCTAGTGTCCGGTTCCATGCTTTAGCTCTCCGATCCTGGTCCCGGTGTTCTCTCAATATCCACACAACTCTATGAGTCGCCCTCACTGTCCGGGTATTTTTACCCCAACCGCTGGAAAGCCAGACATACCGAACAACAATGACGTAATTCAAAATGTAAACCTGGATGCGTCCATCTCAAACGCGTGCCATGATGACATTAACATAGTAAATGTTGAAATTAATGAGCTCGTTTAAATTCTAGAACCCTATGAAGAGTCCGGTCATGATGACAAAGACTTCTGCGTGGGATGTCATTTATTTCAACCACCGACTGAAGAATAATATCCTGACAATTAGCCTGGATATTCATGTTACATCTTGAATTTGATCTAGTCCGTTATTGTAGTACGGTCGATTGATCCACCTGTACCTTATAACCCAAATAACAAGAGAACTAAATTTCAGTTCGGGTACTAAAGTTTATTAGTGATTTACAAGTAACTAGCCCAAATATATTATTCTAAAAATAATTAGAGCGTTTAAACAACGGGTCTTTAGTTTTTAGGTTGTCAGTGTGAAACTCCCTAAATTACGAACTTAAAAAGCGTGAAACCGAAAATCTTCAAGGTCAAGGCTATAAACAAAGGAGTTCAAAATTTGAGTAACACAGATACACACGAAACGCAGTAAAGTTAATGATGGTCAATATGATAGCTTTTAATCAGTCAAACACTTCAGTTCTCCCAGTAACAGTTCACGATGTGGTACGTTTAGTCATTATGTCTGTTCAGTACGACCAGTCAATAGGGAATTACTGTGTGTGCAATGTCATAGTAATGATATTTGATTGACAAACCTGTAAGTAGTGTATAAATTCATTTTGATATGCTGATGTGAATTTATTTCTTCATCTGAGCTGAATAAAAAAATGACTATTCACACATGTTGAGTGAAATTTTATTTTTTGATTTGTTTCAGATACAGTGTAGATTAACGAAAGAAAGTTCCTTCCATACTTCTGATTACAGTGCATTAGTAGTAAAATCGTGATTACTTATAAACTGAAAATAAATTAGAGAAGCTGTGTAATAAGTCAGAAAATATCTACCAGGTTTACTTAAGTTCAACGTTAGCATCAATAAAAGTAATAGATTAGGAACACATGTCAATAGGTATTTACAAAGTGGAGTTAGATGAAGATGTTAAAGGTAATCACTCTCGTTGGTCAACTCCGGTCAAACAATCAGAACAAACATTTTATGACGAAATGCAATCGCAGAACATCTATACATTTTGTAACAGTAGATGAGATATTGATAAAATAGGGAACAAACGTATCCGTTCAGTGTATATTTCCAAATATATGTCTATGGAAAACATGATTTTCACTGGAATTTCACATACGTATTTGAAAATCTCACTGTAAAATGTGATCGATAGACGAACCCACCAATAATAAAGGGAAACGCCCACCACCACATTAACTCTCTTTGACCTTGTACTACTGTATCTCTTTATTAACCAATCACAGTTTGATGTTCATTGTAAAACAATATTTGCTTGTTGACTCATTTTTCCTATTCTCTGGCTACTGTTCGGTATGTTATTTGTCTCTGTTTTTCCCTGTATTAATAGACCGTACTGTTTGTTTGTACACTAACGATGTTAATTTATGTTTTAGAAACAGACAAAGTTTATCTAGCCAAAAAGCTTGCTTGTTCTGACTTTGGCCAAGCCAAGACTCTGTATTCGACGGTCTAGGGAATAGTTCAGAATTAAACCTGTAGGAAATTGCTTCCTACAAAAATTCGAACAGTATTTTCGATATACCTACTGAAATGACCTCCAATAAATACTGCGATCCCGATGAGACTCCAGAGTTTTCACCCTATCACTTGGGAGTTTATGGCGAGGATCAACCTAGAAAGAACGAACTCAAAAACAATAGCATGATAGAACTAGAGTTAGCTAGGTTTCGCATAACCCAGTTAGAAAAGGAAATTGAACTAGAAAAGTTACGCCTCCAGAAATGTGAAGGTTCCGGCCAATTAGTAAGCAACAGTGAGAATACAATATTAAAAAATCTGTATTTGCCAAAAGGAGAAGTCTTAAGATTCGGTGGTACACCGACAAATTATTGGAATTTCATTAAAAATTTCGAAGAATGCATTGGAAGTGAGAATATTTGATTTAGAGCTAAGATAAATTACTTGATTCAATATTGTGACGGGAAGCGAAAGCCGCTATACTTCATTGTACTATACTAGAACCAGAGGTAGGTTATCATCAAGCCCTAAAGCTCTTGGAGGGAATTTTTGGCCAAAAACATGTTGTAGCACGCACGTTTATTGACAACTTGTTAAACTTTAGCAATATAAGGAGGAATCAACCAGATGGGTTGAGAAGACTATCTCGAGAAATGCAAGCATGTGGTTTGACTCTCGAGCAGATGAATTACGTCTCTGATTTGAACTCTTCTAGAACTATTGAAACTATGGTTCTGGAATTACCAACACACATTCAACAAGAGTGGCTAAAGGTAGCTTATAAGATTATTAGAGGAGGCCGAGAGCCTCTGTTCACCGATCTTGTTGAGTTTGTAAAGTAGCAAGTTGACATTGCTAATACTAGATATGGATTACTTGTCACCAGTGTCCCTTCTAATCGCAACCAAAGACAATATGTGGCTGATACTAAAGGACACTTTGATCCAGGATATAAAGCGAAAGTGTCGTTCGCTAACACGAGCGAATTTGATGTCACTCCATATGTAAGACCAAGGACTCTTGGGTTGTCATGTTTGTTATGTACTGGAAACCACCCCTTAGATCAATGTGAAGGGTTTAGAGACAAGAGTGTTAGTGAAAGGATAGAATTTGTATCAAAGAAGAAATTGTGTAATGTCTGTCTAAAGGCGAACCATATAGCGAGAAACTGTCGAGCGCCGAGATCATGTGCCGTCGAAGGGTGTGGTTGGAGACACCATACGTTGTTACATAAGAAGTGGGAAGAGCAAAGAGATAATAATAATAGTGCACACATTAATACCCAACTATGTACGGAGAAAAGCGTTGAGTGTGTACAGAAGCAAGTAGCATTTGCAATAGTGCCTGTATTGGTAAAAAATGGAGAAAAGTCAGTACAGACTTGTGCCTTCTTAAATAGTATGTCGGATGCTTCACTTATTACCGAAGATCTAGCCAGAAGATTGGGTTTAGAAGGAGAGTCTAAGACGATTTTATTGAAAACACTGGATAACCAGTCCACATTTCAATGTGAAGAGGTTCAAGTAGAAATTTCTCCCTTAGATTCGTCGTCATCACTTCGAATCCCAAATGTATGGACAGTCGAGAGATTAGCTATGTTGCGTAGGACTGTACCAACGGCATCTCAATTGGCATCCTGGACTCACTCAAAGGACATAAACTTTCCGAGAGTAGAAGATGAGAACGTCAACCTGTTGATCGGGTGCAACACACCGAGTGTACACAAGACGAAAGAGATAAGAACTGGAAAGTCGGATGAACCATCCGTTGTGAGGACTCTCTTAGGTTGGACGCTGTTCGGTTCCTATGGGGAACCCTGTAAAAACAATCGTGTGGTCAACCACATCTCAGCTAAAGAGGAATTAAAGGATAAGTTTGGACAGTTGTACTCAACTGAATTCAAAGATCCGTTTAGTCGTACGATACCGATATCTGTAGAACATCGTGTAGCAGTAAGTGTTATATCAGGTTCAGTGCAAAAGTTGAACGGGCATTATCAAATAGCTTTGCCTTGGAGACACAAACACAGGTTACCTAATAACAGGAAATTAGCAGAACGTATACTTAGCTGCTTAAAAGGTCGACTTATTCGGGATAAGAAATTGTGCCAAGACTATGTGGACTCCATGACTCGGTACATAGAACGAGATTACGCTGAAAAGGTGAACGATAACCACTCTGATGGACGAATTTAGTATCTTCCTCATCATTCAGTCTTCCACCCCAAGAAGCCTAACAAATTAAGAATAGTGTTCGATTGCGCAGCTCAGTATGTTGGAACGTCTCCAACGTCTCCCCATTTCGTCAGTCATTTATTGGACCGATTCGACAGTTGTGCTTCACTGTATAAAAAATACGACTAAAAGGTTTGAAAGGTTTGTGAGTAACAGGTTAGAAACTATACAGGAGCTGTCTACGCCGAACCAGTGGAGATATGTGAAAAGCAAATTGAATCCTGCGGATCACGCGTCACGTGGATTACCACTAAATGATAAGGCTAAGTTAAGGGAGTGATTACAAGGATCAGGATTCTTGTGGGAGGAAGAAGGCAAATGGCCTAGCCTAGAAAAGGTTGAGAACACTGTAGCCCATGTACTGACAGAAGATTTCGAACCCCCAAGATACAATGATGAGTTTCTAGATCGATTTCGTACGTGTAAGTCGTGGTCTAGGCTTCTAAGGGTATTTTCATACTGCAGACGGTTTGTCAATAATATGTTAAGCAAGAGGAATGGAAGTCATCTAACCTTAGGTGCACTAAGTGATGAGGATATCGAAAATTCGAAGAGCGACATAATTATACTAGTCCAAAGTATCGCGTTCCCGGACGAGAAAAGAATCCTAAGTAGTTCACCGTTAATGCTCGGAGATAACGCTTCGAGACAACAAGAAAGTCAAGAAACAATGAACGAGATGGTCAGGAGGAAAAATTTAATCCGTCAAAGTTCTATAACAAACCTCAACCCCCTTTATGTTAGAAGGCAAAATCCGCGTGGGAGGACGTTTGCAGCTAGCATGTTTACCCTTTGAAACTAAATATCCGATTATTCTCCCCAATAATCACTTTGTTACAGATATGTTTATAATGCATCATCATTCGATTAATGCACACGTCGGAGTTACTCAAACTCTGAGTAGTATTCGTGAAGAGTATTGGATTGTTAGAGGATATTCTACTGTTCGGAAGGTTCTAAAACGATGCTACTTATGTAGAAAACTTTACTCTATGTCATGCTCCCAAATAATGGCACCGTTACCGGAATACCGAGTCGAGACTCATTCACCACCCTTTAGTCAAGTAGGTGTAGATTACTTCGGACCGTTCTATGCCAAACGAGGTAGAGTTGTCGAGAAACGTTATGGCTGTTTATTCACCTGCTTATCTATTAGAGCTGTTCACATCGAAATGGCCTACTCTTTAAATACGGATTCATTTCTATGTGTATTATCAAGATTTATTGCCAGAAGAGGATGCCCAAAGCGTATTTTTAGTGATAACGGCACAAACTTCCGAGATGCAGATGCCAGTTTGAGACAGATTATACGTTCCTGGAATACTTGTAGAATTATGGTCTACTATGATATTAGTGCTGCTCTAATAATAGACCTAATCCTAAATTTGTAGATTTGTCATGATATAACTGCCTAATCTATAAGATCTTACGTGGAAGTCACACCATCGACTACACCAACTTACTGTATCATATCAATTACCAATACATGATGTAGAACAAGGTTAGGCTAGAGGAAGAACAATATATTTAATATGAATAGAAGATATAAGGTAACATTCAGCAGAGGCCACGCCCGCATGGCCGAGCCATGCCACTCGATCAACTCCAGTACATTCAATTCATTGTTCGCGCCTTCTCCATTGTTAGGTATTTCTCCGCGTTAAATATTGAATATCTATTTTCTGAGTAGTCTCGTGTTCACAGCTTTGTGGATTGTGTGGCTATTGTCCAATGCCACTACATACTAATAAAATAGAAAACCACCATAAAGAACGAGAATGTGAGTGGCGTTTCAACCCACCTAGGGCAAGTCATCGAGGTGGTGTGTGGGAACGCATCATAAGATCTATTAGAAGAATCTTAAGAGTGCTTTTATTTCAGAATGTGTTGACCGATGAAACTCTGCAAACCTTCTTAACTGAGGCGGAATGGACACTGAATGACAGACCTCTGGTTAAGATGACAGATGACCCTGGTACCCCAGAAGCTCTTACTCCGAACAAGTTGTTGTTGATTCATAAAAAATTATCATTCGACGATGCTTCGGCGGATAAGATATTATAAAACAAAAGATGGAAAGAAGCTCAAAGACTAACCACCGCATTCTGGAATAGATGGATAGAAGAATACTTAACGACTCTCCAAACAAGAGACAGATGGTTGGACGTACACAAGAATTTACAACCGGGTGACTTAGTCCTTGTTAGTAACGTCGAAATGAATAGAGGTCTGTGGCCCAAGGCTATTGTCGAGCAAGTAAGCTATGGCCCGGACGGTTGAGTCCTCACGGCAAAGTTGAGAACTAAAAGCGAAGAAATCGTCAGAGGTGTGCGAAGCCTATGCCTGCTAGAAGAAGCCGGTTGTCTGACGGCGACGACGACCCTGGAAAATGGACGTGGTGCGCGTTTCGGGGGGAATGTATAATGCGATCGATAGACGAACCCACCAATAATAAAGGGAAACGCCCACCACCACATTAACTCTCTTTGACCTTGTACTACTGTATCTCTTTATTAACCAATCACAGTTTGATGTTCATTGTAAAACAATATTTGCTTGTTGACTCATTTTTCCTATTCTCTGGCTACTGTTCAGTATGTTATTTGTCTCTGTTTTTCCCTGTATTAATAGACCGTACTGTTTGTTTGTACACTAACGATGTTAATTTATGTTTTAGAAACAGACAAAGTTTATCTAGCCAAAAAGCTTGCTTGTTCTGACTTTGGCCAAGCCAAGACTCTGTATTCGACGGTCTAGGGAATAGTTCAGAATTAAACCTGTAGGAAATTGCTTCCTACAAAAATTCGAACAGTATTTTCGATATACCTACTGAAATGACCTCCAATAAATACTGCGATCCCGATGAGACTCCAGAGTTTTCACCCTATCACTTGGGAGTTTATGGCGAGGATCAACCTAGAAAGAACGAACTCAAAAACAATAGCATGATAGAACTAGAGTTAGCTAGGTTTCGCATAACCCAGTTAGAAAAGGAAATTGAACTAGAAAAGTTACGCCTCCAGAAATGTGAAGGTTCCGGCCAATTAGTAAGCAACAGTGAGAATACAATATTAAAAAATCTGTATTTGCCAAAAGGAGAAGTCTTAAGATTCGGTGGTACACCGACAAATTATTGGAATTTCATTAAAAATTTCGAAGAATGCATTGGAAGTGAGAATATTTGATTTAGAGCTAAGATAAATTACTTGATTCAATATTGTGACGGGAAGCGAAAGCCGCTATACTTCATTGTACTATACTAGAACCAGAGGTAGGTTATCATCAAGCCCTAAAGCTCTTGGAGGGAATTTTTGGCCAAAAACATGTTGTAGCACGCACGTTTATTGACAACTTGTTAAACTTTAGCAATATAAGGAGGAATCAACCAGATGGGTTGAGAAGACTATCTCGAGAAATGCAAGCATGTGGTTTGACTCTCGAGCAGATGAA